GACGGATAAGTTATAAAAACCGGCTGTGATGAATCAATTACAAAAAGGGTGTAAAAATGATGTCACAATAGGAAAGTCTGTCAGACAACGGCAGATCTAAATCAGTGAATGCAAAAACAGGTGTCCTGAAAAACCTTCGAACCTGTGCTATGTTAACAGTAGCTATGCAAAGCATAGCTTCTGTTTCCTACCGTGAAAAGTCCGGCGCCTCAGGGAGGGCGGAGGAGGCCCGGCCTAGTGAAAGGTGATCTGTAATGAGACCCACTGATCTTCCCGCTTAGCCCTCACCGTAAACATGACCTCGGCAGTTGGAGACCGGCGCCGTGCGGATCCAGCGGTCAACAGACGGACCCCGCCGAGCTCTGAAGTGGATTCCCGCCGGGATCGCCGTCGTCCGGATCCAGCGGTCAGCGGACGGACCCCGCCCAGCTCTGGAGTGGATCCTTGCCGGGACCGGGGTCGTCCGGATCCAGAGGTCAACAGACGGACACCGCCGGGCTCTGAAGTGGATCCTGCCGGGACCGGCGCCGTCCGGATCCAGCGGTCGACAGACGGACACCGCCGGGCTCTGAAGTGGATCCTGCCGGGACCGGCGCCGTCCGGATCCAGCGGTCAACAGACGGACCCCGCCGAGCTCTGAAGTGGATCCCGCCGGGACCGGGGTCGTCCGGGTCCAGCCGTCAACAAACGGACCCCGCCGAGCTCTGAAGAGGATCCCCACTGGGATCGCCGCCGTCGTGATCCAGCGGTCAACAGACGGACCCCGCCGAGCTCTGAAGTGGATCCCCGCCGGGACCGGCGCCGCTGCGCTATAAGCACGCCGGCTGGCCTGGCATCGGTGTGATGCGTAGCTGCGACGCGTGGACCAAGATGCGATCGTTTACTAGACAACTAGGAATAGCCAAGAGCGGGGTCTTTTGATTAAATGGAGCAGTTGTCAGACATGCGTATTACTGCGCGGAGAGAGCCGTTGCATCCATCCGTTTGGCTCAGTGATATGTCCTCTTCAACCGCACGCTGTGCTTGTTACTTCTATATTCATGATAAGAAGGAAAAAGCAATACCAGCATACCAAGTGCAAGCATTGCTGTCAGCTATCGACCAGCCGGAAGTGTACAGTTTCCGCCTGACCCGGCGTCTTCGTGACCCGCTACGAGCGGCGTTACCGACAGCGTCACAGCTGTCACGTGAGGGTGTCACCTCACCTGTGACGATCCGCTCCTCGACGCTAGTGTAGCGGCAAATACTGTCGTGCTACCCGAGTTTCGTGGTGTCATTTGCGTCTGAGCGTTTTCGGAATGGTAGGTACAATAAAGGTCGCGCCAGAAATGCGATGTTCTCTTGCTGTTCATTCTAATGTAATTTCAGTATGTTTTCAGCTCTGCTTCCTGGAACATGTCGCGGACTAAGCTGAATAACTACTGGGCATAGAATTGCCAGCCTGATGTTTCCAATGCGAGCTCTACCAAACCTAAAAATAAAAGTCACTTGCCTCGCTTCCGAGATAGATGGTCATTGCGTGCGATACCTGCGAATTGAACTTTGTGAAATCAATTCGTATATTATTTGAAACTGAAAAGGTCATTTCTCTAACTGGAGATGTCCTTGTAACCCTCAAAGCTGACATGCACACACACGCGTGATGTAACCCTGTCATTAGGAGCGCCACGTCGAACAGCAGGCAATTCTGCACACGGGTGGCATTGGCTGGCGGGTAAGTGAGCCCGTTAGAGCCGACTGGAAGGTCCCTGTCGACTCGCCCGGACGCCACCGGTTCCGGCTCGTCGTCATCGCTGCAGCTGCTCTGTCATCAGACATTGTGCTCCCTGCCGCGGCGACACTGGCCCAAGGCCGCCCCCGGCCCAACAACTGGGTCACGACTCCTGACACTGCCACGGCTCGCCGTCCGCCCGCCGTTCCCGCCACCCCTCCCGTGATCGTGTCACGTGCGCGTACCGGGTCACGCCATGTCTACTCGGGTGGCGTGAGCCGGGTGTCGGTCCGCGTGGCCCGCAGGGACCCAGGCTCTGCTCTGCCCTTGCGACGCGCGGTGACCTCGGTCACCTGATCCGACGCCGCTTGATCTGACTGTACTGAGGTGGGTATGAATACCCGTGCATGAAGCAGATCACGCTTTTTATGATGGGTTATTCTGTCAGCCTGATCTTTGGTTCACGGAGTTATTATCGGCTGGACTACATGGCACATATATTATCAGAAACAGACCGCGTCAGCATCAGATCTACCTCAGTACGGAAGAGGTTACATGACAGACAGCTTCAATCCTGCGGAACTTTTGTGAGAAAGCCCTCCACCCAGTGACACAAAGCCTGGACGACTGGCAAGCGCACCTTCAGTCCCGAGCACCCGGCCTGCAGGGACGACTGCAGCACCTGCACCAGCCAGCCGCCGCGGTCCCAGCTCGAGCAGCGCCGCAGCAGCTGGCCCGCAGACTGCTCCCACGACTGGCGCTGGCGGCGTGCCGGTCCCACGCATCAGGGCCCGGTCCCGGGCGAGTTACCGGCGTCCGGCGCCCAACAGGTGGCTCGGAGGCCGGCCCTCCGACAGCGCCGACCACCGGCCGCAGCGTGGCGGAAGCGCCCGCCCGACCAGCTCACGAGCCGCGGCGATGTGGCCACGACCGAAGACCTGGGCCCGAGGCTTGGCGACCCAAGCTGCTGCAGATTCGGCCGATCTGTTTTTCGCCTGAAAAAGAAGCGCATTACGTAGGCAGAGCGCGTTTTACAACGCCGGGATTGTCTCGGCGACCGGCTGCGCCCGTGGAACGACGGCCGTCAATAGCACGGACTTTTAAAGTGCTAAAGAAGCCACTTCGGTCAATGCGAATGCAAATGCATTGGCGCTTCCCTCGGTTGGGGCCGGCGATGACGTGGGGAATTCGTGGCGAGCCTGTCGCCCACGCTTCAGGACCGACCGTGCGCGGTGGAACGATGTGTGGACGTCTGAGCCAGTGCAGGGTGGACGTCTGAGCCAGTGGGTCATGCAGCGCATGACGCGTGATACGGTCAGGCAGTTAATAATAGCCCGCCGGGCCGACGCACTGAGGAGCCGGTGGCAAAAAGCACGCCGGTTTTTACGCTGAATTCATATCACGGTGAATGTAAAATGAAGGGTGTAAATGTCCCAGTTTATGACTCCGATTTCACTCGGTCCGACCGAGCGTGCAGCTGCCTGCGAAGAACCGCGCAACGTCGGCTCCGCAAGAAGTGGACCTCACGCTGTCGATGCACAGTTCGCTGGTCATGAGCTTTCACACGTGCACCGGATATCAATGAAGTGTTCTGGTGGTCACCGTCGACCCCACGCACCAGTCGCGTGGGCGGCACACTTGCGATGTGTGACCCACGCGACCATCGCGGCTGACTTGGATTCCAGAATCCTCTGGATGCGCAGGCACGCGCGCATTACGGTAACGGCTCGGTTATTAGGCGACTCACACGGATACTTCGGGATTGCCACACGGCTCCACGGGTAAACCCACTTCAATAGTCCACAGGCACGCAACGCCCGTTGGAATTTCATCATTAGCCCTGGGGTTTTTAACGCAACTTCGATTAAAGCTTCCCTTATCAAAAAGTCATTAGGACAAATGTTTTACCGGTGTATTGTGTATCATCTACACGGGCATATTGACCTCTCTGATCGGATAAAAATAAAACACAGTTATTACCGGTGGAAGCCTGACTGGCCAGGTTAATTAACCATCTTATCAGACAAGGAACAAAGATGCTTTGAAGGTGCCATAAAGAAAAGGGAGAGCAAAATTGCTCTCTGGTGGAACTACGAGGAAATGAAGATAATTGGTTGCTAGATGTATGTGTAATGATGCGCAAGGCTTAAAGGGCCCAATGAAAGGGAGAGAGGAGAAGAGAAGAGTGCGACCACCAAAACCAAATTTCTAAAAAACAGTTTATTTTGATAACATTCCAAACATTTATTGGGAGGGAGATTAGGCCCTTCAAGTGTGCCAACCAAGCTTTGTTTTTGCGCGTGAACGCTGTGAAGTAGCGACATAAAATAATGAGAACGAGGCAATATCATAAAATGGTGATGGTTTTGTTCCAATAGGAGGACATCACTGTGAGCTGCTGGTTTGTGAGCTCCCCTCACCACATCCTTCTAGTAAGGCATGTGTCGGTGATATATTCCTGTAAATATATACATATATATATATATATATATATATATATATATATAAAGACAGAAATCATATTTGTTAAGTCGCCGGCAAATGCCTCACTGCATCCTTCAAGTAATGCATGTGCAGTCGACTCTATAAGCATGTATTCTATCTCTTCTTCTTAGAGATACATGCGTAACTTGTTATTCTTCATACTCCTTGTTATATATAATATATATATATATATATATATATATATATATATATATATATATATAAATATATACGCGTGTCTTTGTGTATACACTATACCCAAGGTTATAGGGTTTACTGGAGCAAGGGAGAAAGGGAGAGAGAGAGAGAGGGGAGAGAGAGAGAGAGAGGGGGGAGGAAGAGCGAGGGAGAGAGGGCGAGATTATATATATATATATATATATATATATATATATATATATATATATATATATATGCGAAACACTAAGTGAAGAATCTACGCCAGTATCAGCACGCGTGCATATCAGGACCTGCCACGGCCCACAACAAAACAAGTGGCACAAACGAGGCCTCGACTGCTCTGCCACGGTTGCATCCTACGCATGAATGCCGCGCGCCGATGGCAGGTTCGTCGCCCCGCCAGCTCGTCGGCGGCCCTTCATCACCGCCTGTCGCTCGGCCGTGGCAGCGGGTGACCAATCACCAATCAGAGCCGACGGCGCCGGTGCCGGCCGCCTTCTGCTGTCGGCCCCGGCCGCCGCCGGGCGGCTGCCGCGCCGCCGGCGGCTCTGCTGACGCCGCGGCCGGCTTCTGCTGGCGTTTCTGCTACGCCGCCAGTCGTCTGGCGTGCGCCGGGGCGCGTGCGCGAGGTCGGCCGCGCGGCCGAGCCGGAGTCGTGTGCACGGAGGGTGGGAGGCGGAGGCCCGCGGCCGCCGCTGCCAGACGTGTGACCGTCGCCCGTCCACATTACAGGTAACGGTTGTCGAAGATACAGCATCCGGAGGGGACGCGCTGGGTATCGGTTCGGCCAAATGTTGGGCTGTGAGCTGAAACGTATACCTGTATACTGATTGGCGCCGGTATGTTTCATGCACCTTTTACCATGGTCCGGATATCTAGGCAGCCACCTGCTCCCCAGCAATTTCCAAGCTATTCTCCATTCGTCATCTCGACCGAACACAACCTCGCTCCGACTTAAGGATTGTAACGGCTCGGCTGCCTCACTGCACACCAGCTTGTGCTAGCCTGGGTCGCGCATTCACGAACCACAGGCTGACTGCTGTCCTGTCCACAATGCAGGAGCAGGATACGCTAGGCTTTTCCCTATCGGTGCGAGCCACGTTTGATTTTTACTGATTTGTCAGTGTCATCCAACTGCATCTGTGTGCATCACGTTAATCGCAAAAGCTAAGTATTTTAGAAAGCTGCGCTTCGCGCAACATTTGTTTCCCATGAATATGTTACGCATTGTTGACGGATATTTCTTGCCGTAAACAATTACATTGGATGACAGGAGCCAGCGTTCCGCCGCTTACCCGACGAATGTGTTGACGAATGTGTTGCCTGTAAGCAATGCAAATATTTGCGTTCTGGAACGATGAATGATTCCCGGAAATCTTCCACAATTTCTTAGGATGTTCTAAATTATAAATCATAAGCCGTTGCATCAGTACCACGTGTGTTGTTTACTGGATCTACTTGTCAATTGGATGGATCTGTATGCAAAAGTAATTACATGGGAAACGATTATGTCCGATTATAGTGACTGAAAACATTATTCAAAAGTGTGGTAACTTCTTACGATATTTTTTGCCTTGAAAAATGAGAAGATTTTATGAAACGAGTCAAAACAGCTCCAGTCACTGGACACGATTTTCTGTCTGCAATGGGTAAAACAATAAACTTGCATATTAGTGCGCTTATCCATGTATTTGTTTTTCGCTATTGTTTTTACTTGTGCCGAGATGGCCCATATGTCAACACGACCACTTTGTCGTTGTATTTATCATTTACGTCATTCTTCCCACAGCACCACAGGTAGACGTGGTATCTGAACGAAAGCATAACATGTGGGATTATCTTGTGCCTCCGTGCACTTACTGTCGTCCCTCGTAAGGTTATGTGGTGTCGGATATGATTAAGTATGATATGATCGCATCAGATATAGTCCCCACCTTGTGCATCTTTACGCATCGTGTGCATCGCGTGCATCGTGTTGCCCATGGTTCTCTTCTCCACCCTCCTGGCCTTTACCCCATTGGCTTTTTGGCTCCCAAGCTCTGTTGCGCGTCCTTGTTCCCAGCTTTTATCTTACCTCAGCCTAATGATGTTACAATACAGTGCACAATATTGGATTGCTAAAAAGATTTCCCAATGTTTATCTTTTCCAACAAAGCCGTCGACACAAAGAGGTTCATGCAAAGGCAAAGGCTTACTTACCAACACGGATGGAAAATCGACATTGGCAACGGATGGGATCTGTTGTTCTATGTCACATAAGATCACATACAAGCCAGAACAAGTACCGGCTCAGAGAAATCAGCCACTGTATCCCCAACCAGTTCTACGCCTGTCTGTCGGCGGGTCCTCGTCCGGTTCATCAGTTCCGCGCCCAGTTCCGAGGCCGGTTCGGTTGCGGGGCCGGTTCCCCTGTTCCCCGCGTCCTGCAGTCCGGTCGTGACGCAGGTCCAGCCGACAGTCCGGTCGTGACACATGTCCAGCCGACATGTCCAGCCGACGTCCGGTATGACACATTGTCCAGCCGACAGTCCGGTCGGGACATATGTCCAGCCGACAGTCCGGTCGTGACACATGTTCCAGCCGACAGTCCGGTCGTGACACATGTCCAGCCGACAGTCCGGTCGTGATGACAATGTCCAGCCGACAGTCCGGTCGTGAACATGTCCCAGCCGACAGTCCGGTCGTGACATATGTCCAGCCGACATTCCGGTCGTGACGCATGTCAGCCGACAGTTCGGTCGCGACACATGGTCCAGGCCGACAGTCCGGTCGTGACCATATGTCCAGCGACAGTCCGGTCGTGACACATGTCCAGCCGACAGTCCGGTCGTGACATATGTCCAGCGACAGGTCCTCCTGTCGGTCGTGACACATGTCCAGCCGACAGTCCGGTCGTGACATAATGTCAAGGCCGACAGTCCGGTCGTGACACATGTCCAGCCGACAGTCCGGTCGTGACACATGTCCAGCCGAACAGTCCGGTCGTGACATATGTCCAGCCGACAGTCCGGTCGTGACACATGTCCAGCCGACAGTCCGGTCGGTGACACATGTCCAGCCGACAGTCCGGTTCGTGACACATGTCCAGCCGACAGTCCGGTCGTGACATATGTCCAGCGACAGTCCGGTCGTGAACATGTCCAGCCGACAGTCCGGTCCGTGACACATGTCCAGCCGACAGTCCGGTCGTGACATATGTCCAGCCGACAGTCCGGTCGTGACATATGTCCAGCCGACAGGGCCGTGTCAGTGTTCCGCTGCTAATGACCCCGATCCCCGCCTCCCCCGGCCCCGCGGCGGGCGAGGCCGGCGCTGGTGCCTGGCGGCGCCGAGGGTCTCCCCCACCGCCCCTTGCACGCCCCGCTGGCCGCCGACGGCCCGCGCGACTTCCTCGCCGTATTCATACTCTTACTTTTGTCGCGCGCGGCCTCGTTTGAAGCGCGGGTGCCGCCAACGTGGCCTGCTGATTCAGAATGCGCCGGGTGTGCGTCGTTCCGGCGGCCGGACGCAGATGTGTAACGCTTTCTCCGACGGTGGGCGCCGGTCACGGCGGAGGTCATCCCGCACCGGCATGACTGACCGTTTGCTTTGCGCGAAATCGTGACGCAACGTTACCGCGGCGGCGGTGAATACAAATGCCTTGGAGACGCCCCTCAGAGTCCTCGTGGTGTGCTCCATGGACTCTGGGCTGTCATGGCACCGTGGAATGTGCTCAAGGTTTTCTTGGCTTGAGGTCGGACTACGCGCGTTCACTCGCTGTCCATTGGTGGTTAGTTACACTGCGCTTTTATTGGTTATCAATGTTTCGTCTTTGTTATGGTACATAAATGTTAATGTTTATTCACACACGTATCATGCATGTTTCTTAGGATGGCAAGGACTTTAGGAAGTATCACTTGACGTGCTCAGACTGAGTTACGCCCAGGATGATGGAAAGTATTCGTGATGAAGGCTCTCCAAACACTGGTGTTAATCCGGTCGATTTCAACGCCTTACAGACTGCGACGTGTGCTTCTTGCTAGCGCTTGTTATTTTTAAAGGTCCCATGCCAAATATACGCCAAAAATATCTGGACGGGTGTTGTTAACGTACAAAAGAAAATATTTCATTCCGACCATGCGATCTGAATTCACTTCTACTCGGCCCAGCAAATGAACGGCCAGTCACATTGTGTCGGAGAACCTTACGGTATTTCAGATAGGTGGGCCTGAAGGGTCGGCGTGGAACAAAGACTACCTGCGGCCCGGATCAGTGCATTACATGGAGGACATGAGAGGCATGACTTAGAAACCAGCTTTCGGCATGCATGCACGTGCAAACGCCGGAGGCTGCTAGCTACGGGGCCAATGGGAGTTTTTTTTTTATCGGGGACTGTCAAGGAGCTATCTTTCCACGTTTCGGTTCGCCAAATGACGGACTCTGAGGATCTAAGTGGAGGCCGTGACGAAAGGATGAGACGTGTGAACTGCACTTCGCCAAATTACCCACTACACTCCAACCGGCCAGGCAAAGTTTCCCTCTAGCGCGTCACCCACGCTTGTATCGACATGGACTACCATCTGTTTATTTTAATAAAAAAAACAGCAAGCATTTCGGCTCATGTGGCTGATGTGGCTGATGTGGTCCAAACTCATGTAGCTCTGTCGACTCAGAAGCAGTTCTTTGAAGATGTTCTCAATACATCTGAGTGCGTTTCTCTGCCTGTGCAGCTAGTGCGCCAAAGACAAACATACACGTAATGGACCGGTGTTGGTGATTTGCATTGACGACAGCGCCAATAATGTCCAAGAACAACTTTATTCGACATGATCATGACTGCATCATTCGTGGTCGTGGACATTCGTGACTATGAGCACGGCTTGAAAGTCAGGTTTTGACAATGCAACCATTGTTTGCTTGATAGCGTCATTCGCCAGTACCTTCTGGTACATTGAAGGTCGATAATTGTCAACATAAGAACCCTGAGCTCATAATAGATTGCGGTTGCAATACATCGCAATTGACGCTCGCTTGCCCCGTTCAACGTCACGCAAAACAAAGCTACGGTACAATCATGCTGTTTGAATGCTAGTACGAGACGATTACAACCATTGGAGGCTGATCGAATTTTCAAGGTGTAACTTTCGGTCTGGTATGACCCATAAGCCTCGTTATTTACGTTGTCGGGCTTTATACAGTCGCCGTAGACAATACCACCTCGTGATATTTCCTTGACCGTTCGATACCTCATCACTCGCCACAAAGGCTCAGACTCAGTAGACTATCGGAGAAGAGGCTTTGACGAGCTTGGAAGATGATAGCATCAACATTAGCCCGACCTTAAGCCCGTACACACGAGAAACTCCCATAGGTCGGGGGTCAATGACTGGTGGGATCCAAGGAACGTGCAGCGCTCAAAGCCAGGGGGCGGGCGGAGCGTGCCAACCATTGCGGCACGTTATACTTTCGTTACAAAATTCTCCCGCTAAAATGGACTTTCGCGAACGGATGGTGGAGTCAGCATTTAGAAACAAACACTGCTTGGCGCAAGCGCTGGTCACAACAAGCTATTCAATCAATGCGCCGGATAAATCTGTACAAAAAAAAACTATGAAGCGCCGGCGATATTCATCGCCTGAATGGCATGGGGGTGTAGAAGGTCGTTGAACTCAAAACAAACAAAGACGCGGAACAGAAATGGTTAACTTTGGGGCATGCCGTGTATTTGGTATGCTATGTCGTAAATGTTTATG